AATCGATAGTGTTACGAGGAAATGCCGTCAACGAACGAACAAACTCACTTGTTGGATAAGTTATTTGTAGAAAGTATCGATGAGCTATTGATTGGAACTGCTCTGAACATCGCACGCAACGATTGTTCATACCGAATGTGGTCTCAAAACAGTCACGATATGCTGCACCACATGATGTTTCACCCAATTCCTTGAAGTTATTAGTCATTCGGCTAGTTTAGTCTCAATTTTGAGCATATTTTTAGTTCATATGAGGCAATAAAATTCGTGGAAGTCGACAATAGCTCGTTGATGACATGATCCTTGCTCACTTTTTGCGAGACATACTCAGTGATGATGATGATGATGAAAGTGACATTTTAACGACCGATCTGCGGAATTTTTTTCGAAACCTACTTCAGACTTTCCAAATAAAAAAACAAAAATTACTACGCAATGAATCGCAATCAATATCAGTCGACCAAATATGGCAGAAAGTAATGAAGACGTCTTTACTGGAATGATTATCAATCAAAAATTTCGTGGATGAATGACTCTCGTCTTGGTCGAGTCCCTTTCGTGCCTANGAATGCAGGAAATGAGACGGAAATAAATGCAGGAAATCACTTCAACTAACACTCAAATATCAAATATTGTTGTTGTCGTCGTCCTATTCAAAAGTAAATGAATTCGAAATTTCATCCGCAACTCAAAGTTTCAGAAAACAAAACCGATCAATCACCAAACATCTCACAATAAGCACGACGCACTGCTTTCCGCAGAGATTACGAAAGTTTATCGCATGAAATCGACAACTAAATTAAGAATAAATAACCTCTTTGAGTCGATTCCAAAGAAACTGCACGAAGGAACGCGTTCTCGATAGAAGACTCGCTTGTTCAGCGCTTTCGTCGAAAAGTTTCTTGGCCGCATCTATTGACCGCAAACAACGTACAAAATTCGATGCCTTCAATTTTTACAAAAAACAATCCCTCTATCCATTTTTTAAGAACTCCAAATATTCGCTGAACGGCTCAAACTGTATCAATTGCATTGAATGTTCTATCATCTGTTATCCGTTGCTTTTTTGTTGGTGTTTCAATCGTTATCATCATCTCGCGTTTTCAATCTTATTTGGTGTCATATAAATGATTTTTTTTGGTGAACATTCGATAGCAATGAATATTCTTTCATATATCTCGTCGATACACTCTCAATTAGCGTTTGATAATTAGCCGAGAAGCTCTTTAAAAGCTACCAATCAACACGTTCCAATTTCAAGCGTTCTCAGTTGATCGTTTTATCACTTATTCTACTGATGATAATTCATTTCCGGTTCAGTTTCCGCTTAAGGTGTTCGAATGATTTAAGAATAAACAGCGTTCTTGTTTTCGTTCATTAGGCTTTACTAGAAGTAAAAATGATGCATGTGAAGAGGCATTTTAGCTTGAATGTTCAAAACAGCTAATAATAAATCAAGGAACGAACCGACGCAGGCTGGAGTGGTACTCGATCGGCGAGCATTCGAAACAGGAAACCGATTTCACACGACAGACAGTCGACGTTAAAACACAAGTGTCGAAGGAAAACATTTCGAATCAGCGTTATGTGGAACAGAGCCTTAACACAATTTCAAATTGTTTTTCGCATCTCAATTCGATTTCACATTAAGTTGATTTGCGTTCTAGAAGACAGCAGTTGAGACTTTAGGACGGGAAAACGAAAAACATAGATTCCGCGCAAGACGCTTTTAGGCATTCCATTAGCTAAATATTTATTCTCTCTGATCGCTTCCGATCGTTTTCGAGAGCTTTCAGATTTTCAAAGCGCAAAATTCAATAAATAGTGGAATGTTTTGCCTTTCACTAATCCATTATTACCGTATGCGTTTGGTTTAATCTCTCTAATCAGTACTTTTGCATAAACATTATGGAAACTCATATGTTTTTGGAGTCAATAATTCAGTCTGAACATTGAGAATTCGCTGAATATTTGTGAGATGATTAATACCTTTGCATAAATTCTATTGACTGCTACAACTGAAGCTGTAACCGACTGCATTTTTATTTTATCTCATGTACGAACAACTGATTGAATACTTACACAACTAATTCAATTAGACAAATATCTACTCGAAAACATTCCTTCATTGCAAACCGATTGAAAGAAACACAAACAAATGAGAAATTTGATGAAATAAACAATACAATGCACTCATTGAATGCTAATAGAAGAAAAAAAAGCAATGCTTGATAAGACCTACCAAAAGTACTGCACTGGCTTGAGGCAGTGATGGTTGTCCTTCGATTGGAATCAATTCGGTACGATTATATCGTAAGTACTCAAATTCTTCGCTATTGTACCGAGAGGGTCGCACATAAACGCGACGATAGAATTTCGGTATGGACTGTGGAGACGTATCCCGAACTGTTTCCTCTGAATGATTGCCGAATCAACATCATCACTCATGCACATACAATTACTATCATCAAAACTATGACGAACACTATTATAATATTATTAAGCTCATTATTGCTACTGCTGCTAACGTCATGCTTTCACATCGCACCCAATCACTTTTTAATAACTCCTCATAACAGCACCACATCTGCTCATCAATTATAATTTTTTGTTCGCTTCATACGACTCATTCACAAAACAT